ATTAATATTATAGTATTCGTTATCTATATTTTTATTATTAACGTCGGTATTCTTCTTTTTATTAAGACTATTACTAATCTTAAGGAGGTTCTGTATAAAGACGCTAGGAGCGTTTTTAATTTTATAAATTACTCCTTATACTAATATATAAAATAAGAGATAAGTCTTAACTATAGTACTTATAAACTCGTTTAAAGTATCTACTATAGGGTATTAACTATTAATTTAGTTTCGATCTTAAAGGACGATACGGCCGGCATAAATCGCTTCGCAGACTATTTTCTAAGCTATCTTAGCAAAGTATTAAGTTATATACTCCTATTATAAAGGATTAAGGAGGCTTATAATAACGATCGTTTAGATAATATCGTTATTTATATTATAGTTAATTATATACTTAAAAATAGCTATAATCTCTCGGTTTACTATACTTACTCTAGAAAACTAGGGTCCGATATTAATATCGAGGGTATTAGTAAATCCGAGTATATTAAATACTATGTTATTAGTAGCTATAGATTAGTAAAAAGAAAAGAAAGCATAGCCGTTAGTTATAGTACAAAGCTCTTTAAGCTTAGAGTTAGAGGAGGAGGAGGATAAGTTAGTAGTTTTATTACTTTTAAATCCTCCCTTATCTTTCTTTACCTTTTACTACTTTTCTCTTAGTACCTTAAGTACCTTATCTAAATTTATATACTAATATTTACTTATCTCGTATCCTTACTTCCTATAGCTAGTATATTATAATTATAACTTATTACCCCCCTTTTTTAGTCATTTACCGTTCTAACTACTATTTCCGCTATTACCTTCTTAATTATTAATAAAGTTATTATTATTACGGCGAGACTTTATATTTTCTTTTTCTAAAAGAAGTTAGTTAAAAAAGAAGTTAAGATCGGTTTATCTATCGGTTTATTAAGTACGAATCTAGTTATACTAACTTTTAAAGTTATTATAAAATCGTAATAGTCCGATAAGTAAATTCAATACTAACTAGCTATTAATATACGTTTAGCTAATAAAAATAAGGTCGGCCTTAAGTTACTAGTATTTATTAAGAAAATCGACTATACTATTATTTCTCATAAGGCAGAGCTTAGTAACCTTTTTAAAAAGTTATTCCTAAATAAGCTCGTTAGTAATTATATAGCGACTTTTAATCTATTTAAAGGCATTAAAAGCGTTATCTAAATCTTCGATTTTAGTAACTACTCTAGAGCTAACTTACTTAAAAAGGAGGTTAAAAATAAAATAGGACTTTTCTTAGTACTTTTCTTATTTCTTAACCTCTATTTACTACTTAATAAGAGTTTGGGTAGGGTCGGGGATAGGGCTAGAAGAACTTCTATTCTTATTTTTAGTAGAGGACCTCGTAATTAGTTTAGTATATATAGTAGTAGTATAAATAATATAAAAATCCTCCTTAAGTTCTAAAATCTACTTCTTTTTATTATTAAAGAGGGCCTAGACGTTAGTAACTTAAGTAGCTCTATAGAAGTTACGTTTCTATTTAAAATAGTTAAACTTATTTTATAACTACTTAGCCATAAGGGGCTCTTTAGCATTCTTTATAATTACGTAATAACCTATATAGGTATTTATATTTATTATTATATCTAAGATAGGAATAGGTAAGATAAATAAAAAAACGTCTTTTTAAAATAGCTATTTTTAATAACTTAATAAGAGAGTTCTAGGCTTATAACTACTTAGTAAAAAGGATTAATAGTATCTCTATTAACTTATAGATAAAGAAGGAGAAGATCTATTTAATATAATAGATCCTCTTAGGTCCCTTATATAGACTATACTAATAAAGGGCTACCTTCAGTAGCCTAGATACTTCTAGTATCCTATATACCTAAACCTTCTAAAAAGTATAGATGTCTTAGGGCACCTCCTTTTAAGTAACGTCGGGGTAGAGTGTTTATTTAGGGTCCGCTATCCTAGCAGGTTATAGGATCTTACGGATAGGATTTTCATATAGACTCATGAGTTTGGCTTGCAAGCTGCCAGCATCTCCCATGCGGGACCATACATGGATTTATTTCAGTTCGAGACGGGAATATATATACGTAAACATACTGGGAAACTTATATAACATCTAACCTTATCTACTTACGAAAAGTCTTAATCTTAAATAACATGGAGAAACTTACACTGAGCTGTAGCGACAGACGATTTCGATATATTAGAAGAAAGGGCATGTCTCCCGCCCACTAATACTTGGGTTGACACTGAAAGCTGTTACCATGTCGGCAGCGCTAGTCACGCCACCCCTGCATAGTTAGAAGGGTAACCCCGCATCACCGCTCCAAACAACACAAAAAACGAAGCTATCGTCACCCACCATGGCCCACCACATAATAGACATCAAAACACCAAAATGGAATCAAAAACATACAACACCAGGTATTCGCTGGTCGTCACCGACCCAACTACTAATCCGGCCCTCATTGGCTTATCTATGGGAGAGCGGACGGGATCCCGAGTTTTCCAATGGGTATGGTCGTATGTGGTAATCTGGGAAGCGGAAGATGCCCAAGTCGAGAGGAAAGGGGGACATTCAGCACCTCCATCTCAACCCCCCATTCCCAGATAGACTAATTCCAGTGAGGTTTGACGTCAGATGGAAAGAGAAAAGTCAAATCTGTCATTTATTCTTATGATTCGTCTCGGTCCCGTTCACTTGTTACCAGAACTCTTGGTGTCCCCTTGGGCCGGCCATCACGATGTCCAAGCAAGGGTTGATCAACTGCTACGGTATCGTAACGTCAGGAATGAAAGCTTCAAGGCCATGGTTCACTGTGATTCGCCTCCATACCTAGGCTCAATGTGAATTATGAGGTGTATCTTGTGGCAGGAGAGTAAAACAACACTACCAGGTCTGAGCCGAGGAAGTAGACACAAGTACCTTACTCTACAGCCTAACTATCCAGAAGCCTGACTCCATATTTTTATGTCACCTCAGATGTCTAGTGAGCATAACCTTTTAGCATAGCGGCCCTCCATCTGCCTATGTACGCCATATTGTACCTGATACCACACTCACATCAGAAGTCCTTGGCATCACTGAAAGGAAGCGGCCCTTGTGTCAAGAATACTCCAAGGCCTCCTACTTCACCTATTATGCAGAAGACATATGACGTGCGAATTCTAAGCTCAGAACCAATACGCTAATCTTGTCTGACTTGTCAATGTTGAAATGATGGGGGAAAATACTGGCCTAGGCAACCGTGGAAGCCTGAGAAGAAGAAAGTTGATAGCTGAGACAAGCTTGCAAATCGATGGAGGCCATGAGTATTTGCATCTCCCATAACACATACTTAAATCGACACTCCTACCACATCGCCTGCGCTCTGCCTGTCTGCTCCAAGCAATCCATACAACATGACCACCGAGGTGAATACCCCAAGCCTACCATAATCACGCAATGACCTCACTCACAAGCTCAGCCATAACAACCATAGCAACCAAGTCTCTAAGCCAATACTAACCTTCTTGTAGTACATCTTCCTGTTTCAGTCAAAGATCATTGCTGCACGTGGGAGTCCTGCTTTTCTAAGAGAAGTTCCCTCCCTCTACGAAAATGTCCTTGAGCTCCAGCTACCGGACTGCATCGTCAATGAGACATCCTTGCCCAGAAATGTGATTCTCAAGATTGAGTATCCTAAAGACAGGGATCTCTTCGATCCACCAAAGACGGCCCTTTTCGACAACGAGGCCCTCATCTACGACCGGCTTCAACCGCTGCAAGGGAGCGTCATCCCGAGATACCTGGGCTTAGCGAGCATCGCGGGCAGGAGAGCGCACCTCTTGTCAGATATCGGCGGCATGTCCATGATCAAGAAGGAACTCTTGCGAACTGATCCAGCGACAAACTTTGAGGAGATGATTTCTGTTTCGCTTTGTCTCATACGTCAACACGGCGTTCGGCTAGAGTATCTGGACCCGTCCAACGTCCACTTGTGCGGAGATGCGCTTTGCATCGTGGATCTTGAGCATGCTCAGCTGATTCCGTCAAACCTCTCCCACGGCGAAGAGGAAGGAGAGGAGGCTCGTCTCCAGGGACAGGTACGGCATTTTGTGGATAACATCCAGGCTCGACGAGATCTTGAGAAGAAGATGATAGAATTGCATAGGCATCCTCCCTGGCGATTCAAATCTCCGAGACCTAAAAAAAGGAAAGAGGCGACAAAAGGAAAAAAGGTTGATAAGCTGAGAGAGGTTACTGGGGGGCATGGGGTTGTGGTCGAAAGGCCCAACCTCCGCCGGGCGTCAGGCTCCTCCTCAGACATGATCGTAGATGATTAGAACGAGTCTATTGATAGGCAAGAGAGGAACTACGTCAGGCCTGAGTCGTCATTGTGCTCTCGGCAACCCACAATGAGGGGACAAAAAACATCATTCTCTGCGGTCCACTCAAGTATTTCGGTTACTTCAAAGCTCTGATTAAAACTCACGGAGCTGCCGGAGCAGGCCTCTTGATAAAATTGAGACTAGGCATAATAACTGAGAAATTCATCATGGCGGCAGGCATCCTACCATCGTAACTCTTAGCCGCAAGCCCGGTATCCGTATTGAGGGATTGTGAAAGTTGCCTAGCTCAATGAGACCAGCTAGCAGTGTCACGAGCCCCGTTGCGGTGTATTGTGAGGTCAAAATTAATGGTAATAGTGATTCAAGTGACGGCAGGCCTGACTGGTCGTAGCATGGTCAATCTAGGCAGGCTGTACTGTTCCATCATATTAACCGAACTGAGCTTGACGTTGCTTCTTCATCTCGCCGGGGGCTGTAAATATTCTTTACAGTATCGTGGAGTTGTAGTGGTGGCGATATGCCAGGTTGGCAGTAGCACCATAGTCAGAGCAAGCCTTCTCTTTTCTCACTTGACACGCTGCAAGTAACGAGAGATATGGGAAACGTCACCTATCAGCCAAGGAAGCAAAACCGTCAGCCGTCGCACTCGAAGCCTGGTCGAGACTCACAGGGCGGACTTAAGTGGCGCCGGCCTTGGTCACAATGATAATGTTAGTTATCATGACAGCGGCATACTCCTGAACGGCGACGGGAAGTGTCTCTTCCTCCCTAAACCTCGTGAATCCTCTCAGCGACTTGTTGCCCTTCGTCAAGTAGTGTTCTTCGCATGAGACAATTCGTTGGGTTCAAACAAAGTGGCAAGGTACGTACTGCGTCTGCCCTGGACTTCGACAGGAGGAGCGGCAGATGTAAAGTCAACCAGTCGTCGCTGACCTCGCACATGTCGATCAGGCTTTGGCGATCGAGCTGCGCGGGCACAGCCAGCTTCATCTCAGCCGGTAACTGAGAGATCTCGCACGGCATGATGGAGATGCTAGATGGAAAACGTAAGCAAGGGGAATTATCATTGGCCTCTCTAGGCTAAAGATGCCAAGTTACGTTGCCACACAAGACGTTTTACCAGCCCTCATCTCTCTCTTCCTTCATAGTCACTGCAGAACATATACACACACGCGCGGAGAGGAAGAGAGAGAGGGCGACTGGACAAGGTAGGTATGGCATGTTCACAAAACAAATGGCAACCAGCGAGTCCCAGAAGGCTCATGTGAGGGGGAGGATGCCAGTCCATGGTGGTGCCGCGCCACAACCATGTGGGCTTCTGCCCACGAGAGACACTTTAGCAATACAAGCTCTGCCTTTTATATCACAACAGGCCTACTGTCAGATGACGAGGATTGATGCTGGACGCATACCTTCTCATCGTCTTGTGGTGAGTCGAGTCGTGTTCCGGACTTGATCTCCCACAGACAGTCCCCCCTCGAGGATCCCAAAGATGGACGTGATAGAACCCCCCCTATGTTCCACCAAGAATACCTTTCTGATCGAGATGGCGAACAACAAACCGTCTACCACCGGCCAGTCCCCGGGGTTGTAGTAAGTTCTCTCCCAGCAAATCGGAAGTTCACCGAGTGGTGCGAGGACAGATGGAGGAACAGGTCGCACCTCAAATCTACCAAGGACGTACATATCCAAGGGACTCAACCATTCCTGTTGATGTAGATATCTCACCTAGAGTTGTTCAGACGGAGGATCTCTCTCTACTCCCCTCAGCCACGAGCTACTCCGCATATCCACTTCCCAAACCTCAGCGCCTCAGCACGCCTCGCTGCCAAATCCCAAACCTACACTCGCAACTTACACAAACCCATCCCCCGCACATCACGAAAGCAGCCAAGCATAAGCATCCAGCAGTTCATCAATAAGCAGGTCAGAAAAGAGGCTGTATTGTTTGTATCCATCACCAAAGCCAGGGTGCGCAGCAAAAGACGAAAACCTTTCCCCACGACCAAAACGCAATCGTCTCCAGTCTTCGCCACATCTCCCCAGCTTCGACTACTTTCCACAAAACGCTTCGCTTTTTTTTCCGTTCCTCCCCGTGTTACCAAGCCAAGGAGCATCTACTCCTCGAGCCGCGTTCCCAGAAACTGCAGCACAAAAACTCAAAATGAAACTCCAGATTTCACTCATTCCAATCCCCTCCATATCGACACATGCGCGTCAGCATCACAAGATGACGCCCGAAAAAAGAAGACATCATTGCATCTTTCCCCTCCTCCCATCCCAATATTGGCAAACTTCCGAGACACGTAGAAAGCCGATAGTTAAAGACAGGGAAGAGAAGGGCAAGGACCGCAGATGTCGACTACATACATGAAAGTGAGAAAGAAACAAAGAGCTTCCTCAACTACAAGACGCGAAATCATCAGGGTAAAACGGTCAAGCCAAAGATCCCAGTCGGAAAGGAATCATCTGGCTCCTATCTCCCTCATATCCCCTCCCCATTTCTTTTGTCTGCTTTCCACACCGTTGATCGTCTTTTCCGAGTCCATAATCCCCGGCTCAAGTCCTGCCCTTAGACTACTAACGCTTGGACCGTCTTCTGCTGTTTGCCCCGTGATGAACGTTGCAGGCATTGAGACAGGGAGGTCATGTGGCGTCTTCGCCTACTCGAGAACCATTCGCCAAGATCAAAACAAAGTCGTACTGCGCGGTCGATGCTGATTTCGTAAAAGAAAAAGGTCATTTCATGTCGTTAAAAGTCGTAAAGCTCGTCCAGAAAGGCCCCGGTGTCTCTATTGAACACCATGCTTCCTCCACTCTCCATAAGTCTTGCAGACCATGGTGATAATGACCATGATCGTGTCTTGCCAATTGCAAACTCCACCATTGAGGGACAGCAAACACTTCGCTTGCCCATTTAGGTGAATCGCGTCAAACCCCTCCACCGGCTGGGCAGCTCGCGCTCCTGCGCAACGCCATAGTTCTCCCCTTCGCAACCGAACCCGCGGTTCTTAAACTGCTCGGGTCCGCACTGCATGACCGCCGCGCCGTGGTTCGAGTTGGGCCTCAGGCCCAGCGGCTCGGCTGCCTTGCGGGCGGTTCGGGAAGTCCAGGCACGAGCTGCCTCGCGGAAGGATCGCCTCGAGTCGTTGGAATCGATGCTAGCCGCGTAGGAGGGATTCGGGGGCGTAAAGTCCGTGTCCATGGGCATGGGGCCGAGAGAGGACGAGGGCTGGTGCTTGGCGAGCTTATTGCTTGCGCGGTTGGAGCTACTAAACGACCGGCGAACAAAAACAGTACCTCCACCGACAGCGCGGGGAGGCGGGGGAGGAGGCATGTAGTTAGGAGGAGGCGGAGGCGGCATGTAATTGGGAGGTGGCATGTCCACCGAGGCAGACTGGGCGTGAGACCTTTGCTTGCGGAGACCTGGGATCGAGAGGTCGACGGACATACGAGAAGCAGACTTGCGCAGCTTCTTGGCTGCCGACATATCTTCATCATTGTCCATGCCGCGTTTCCTGTTTCCGTCGCGCGAATCTGGCAAAGGCTGAACCTCCTCAGTCGCCGGAAGAGGCCACTGACCCGATACGCGCTCGGCAAAGGACTTCTTGTCCGTGGGAGGCTTGGTCGAGTACGTGGTGGTCGAGGGGTTGAACGAGGGCGGGGGAGGCTGGCGGGTGGAGCGGATAGCATGCGCATCAAAGAAACCGTCCTTCATAAGTTGCTGGTAGCTGGCCATGATCTCGTCTCTGCTGGGCATGCCCGCGCCGTTCGCGAAATGTGCAGGCATCGCGGCGGCGGTCGGCGCGCCAATGGGGCCCAGGCCGTTGCCGTTACCATTGCTGCTGCCGAAGCCTCCAGCCCCGCCTCCTTGAGCAAGGAGCTTGCCATCGAGGCTCAGTGGGCGCTTAGCCCCCTTATCCTTGTCCCTGACGAAGCTCAGCTTCTCGCGGAGGCCGCCCCAGAAACCCTTCTTCCCGACGTGGCTGCTAGCCGAACTGGCGGGTCTCTTAACTTCGCCGTAGGTGATTGTCGGTTGGTGTAGAAGTGGCTGGGACTGCTGGTGCAGCGGCTGGTGATGTTGCTGCTGCCGAAGTCTCTCAGGGGAGAAGACACCAGCGTCGGGTGCGTCGACGTAAAAGTCCATGTGGAAGCGGCGGGCAATCTCAGTCGAATCCTCGGGGCCGAGGAAGTCGATTGGTGGCGCAGCCGAGGTACGGTCGTTCATTGAACCCTCGACGAAGCGGGAATTGGCGCGCTGCACCGACGAGTTTGATCGTTTCGCCGCGGGTCGCTGGCCGTTGGACGTCGAATTGCTTGACGGAGGGCCCGCGATCGGGTGGGAGGTCAGCGGACCAGGCGCCGACGGGTCCTCCATTGTTGACATGGGCATTGTTTCGTTTGTGCTTTGGTCCAATGTTTTGTTCAGAAAGGGGGTTTGGGTGATTGAGTTTCTTGCCGTGTGGGTTGGCAGCCGAAATCCAACCTTTTTTTCGTCTGTTCTTCTTTACTTGAGGTCTGTTGAACCGGGGGAAAGACGTAATGGAAGCTGTCGTCAGACCCTGATGAGCGCAAAGGTGAGGGGAAGGTTTTGTCGGGCGATGCGGTGCTGCGGCATCCGAAAGGGTTTTTGTTTACTTTTCTGTCGTTACATCTGCCACGCTCCGCATCCGCGCAGGCACGCGGCGCAACCTCTCTGTCGTCGCGGGCTTCTTCCCTGCACAGATGGCAGAGGAGAAGGCACAATGAGGCGTGTTCAGGATGATGAGAGTTCGAGTATTGTTGCAGTGTGGAGTGGGGATGGAAGAGTAAAAAAGTGCTGAAAAGGGGGAGAGGGAAGAAGATACAGCGAGGACGAAGTTTGGAAGAAAGTAAGGCAAGGTAAGCTAAGCTAAGCTAACGGAACGCGCAGAAGTCACGAACCGTGATGGGCTTGGTTGGAGGCGTGTTGATCTCGTAGTACCAAACGTATTGGAAGGGCAACGGCAACCAACAATGGAGAGCCAGGGGTAGTGCGATTTTTTGGGGGGGAAAGACCCGCAAATGGTCCAATGTCGGCCGGGGTTGCTGACCTCTGATGGCTGCTGTTCCCCGAACTAAGGGCCAGAATGGGCAACTGGGGGCCGCGAAAGGTGGAATCGGCCGTTGCTGCGTTGCTCGGGCAAACAAAACGCGCCCACATTTATCCCATTCGTCCCTGGACGCGCAAGATGCGACTCCACTTGGCGCGTTGCCCTTCACCGGGCCATCCTCGCCATCCTCACCTTAAAAACTGGCCGAGAGGAGCATTGGCCACGTGACGCTTGGACCTGGTGCTCTTTCCCCTACATCCAAGGCATATTCCGTACGAGGACCACCTCTGTCTCTCAGACTCTCTCCCGTGATCTCATCTCATCTCACCCTTCCTCTCTCTCACCTCACATTAGCTTGTTGTCTATTTACGTCCGTTGGTGCTGTCAATCTAGCTTGATCGTGCCACGCACGCACGCAGCACGCTACGGCTCACATATCCCATGCACCTGTTCTCTCAAGCTATCTTAGTACTCAGATCTTACCCGTCTCACGCTACTGGGACATTGAGATCGACAAAGCTGAGGGAATCCGGCGTTGACGCAAGCACAATGTTGTATCGCAACACACACGTCCGAGATGGTCACTTCGTAGGGCTCATCTCTCATAGGAGCCGTACTCATCTCATCCCTTATTAGAGCCTCACGTCACTTGTCAACGTCACGAGAAAGGGTAAAGTATCGGTAGCGTCTTTGAGCATTGGAACCTTTTTCCCATTTTCCTATACAAAAGTTTAAACTAAGTGTCCCCGTTGCCCACGGGGCACAGTGGACAACCCACTATCAATCCATGCAGTACTCCTGCCCAACTAGACACAAGGAAATAATAAAAGCAAGACCAATGACACATTAAAGCTCACTCAGATGTGCCTGTCTTCGTGAACATCGAAAAGTCGTTTCGTTTTCAATTCCAGTCTGAATCATGATCAAGTAAAACATGGTAGGAAAGTAAAGATGATCGCTCGTGGCCAAGTAAAACGGCCATCAAGATCGTAGAGAGAGTGTTGGGAGGAACATAGGGAAGGAAACTTGGTTTCCGAGGGGTGCCGTAAATGATGACTGACTCCCGGTTGGTATATACAATTCGAAAAGTTGTCTCCGATCCTTCAAACGCCCCATTGCCCAAGAACGCTTGGATGCAAAATACCACCGCCCTTAATACGAAGCCGCCGAAACGCCGTCAAGCAAGTGCACCGGAACCTCATTGCGGGTTGATAATCTTGTAGTAATCGTTTGCCGGCTTCACGCCAAATGTACCGTCGGCACGCTTGTACTCGAGAGGATCTTGCACAACATAGCGGTGGTTGTAGTGAGCGCTGTTGTGATGAGGATCCTGTGGGCGTTGCCTGTCGTACAAGGGGCGCTGGCTGTCGATGAAGGTGTCTCCGTAGCCACGCTTGGTGCCTGCACGTGCTGGCTCGTAAACGGGGTTGTGAGAGCTAGGAGGAGCAGCCTCGATGAACTCTGAACGACCCGTCATGGGAGGAGCAGTGAGCTTCTCGATGGAGGGCAGCATAGGCGGGAGTTTGGTGCCCATGTGCGGGAGATCGGAAACTGGAGCAAGCTGGCGAGGAGGAAGAGAATCTCTCCTGTAGTCCGAATCGCGCCTGGCCATGTCGTGGTCCCTTGGTCCCGGACCGTACACAGAAGGAGAAGGTGGCACCATCATGGCAGATGGCCGTCTGTCGTACGAATCGTGGGGCGTGGGAGGCGGATTGCTCGAGGCATACTGGGAGCTGGGTCTGCTCGAGTAGCCGTAGCTTGCGGGTTGATAAGGCGAGGGCTGCTGAGACTGGTACGAGGCCGTGGTAGGAGAAATGGGCGGCGGCTGCGCCGAAGGTTGTGCGTATTGGTGAGGAGGGTAGGGTGCACTCGAGGCATCGGATCCGAATCGCAGGTGAACGTTGGTGGAGGGGGCTGGGCCGTATGACATGGGCGGCGGCGGCGGTGGCGGCGCCTGGAAGGTCTCGGCTTTGAAGTTCTCAATGAGAGATGGTTTGCGTTCCGGAGCAGGCGGGTAGGCGGCACGGTGCTCGCTGCTGTTACTCGTCGACCTCGCACGATACTGTTCCGCATTGCTACGAATCTCTGGCGTCTGTGTTCTCCTGGCCGTGCTCCTGAATTCGTTTTCGGGGTTGGTGTCGAACTCGTTTCCAGTCGGCTTTCCGTCGCGTCTTCGCATGCGGACGTCACGGCGGATACGCACGCGACATCCCTGCTCAGAGATGGTCTTGCTCAGGTTGGTGCTCTCGGTAAGACCAGGGAACTTCTTTGCGCTGAAGACGTTGAATGGCACCGATTTGACAGCCATTCTGTATTGGAAGCAGGGGTTCTCATCCTCATCATCCGCGTCGCCGCCCGGTTCCCGATCCTCCGCCCTCTTCACATCTTCGTACAGGTGGAAGGCCAAGACGTAGCGTCCCTCGTGACGGACGGAAAGGTCGGGGAACAGGAAGTAGCCTGCCTCTGTAGGCCTGTCGAGATAGGCCATACCCGAAACCGGCATGCCAGTCAGGACGGGAGGTGAAGTTGCCGCGGGAGTTTGAACGCGTCCATGAGCCATGGGGCGGGCGGGTGTCAGCTCAGCATAGAGGAAGAAGTTGGCCCGGTAGTTGAAAGTGATATCGGTAGCTTCGGCTCTGGTAGGTCCCTCGTAGACGTGCAACTGCACCACGGGGGGAGGATCGACGGGGCGTCTATCGGCCGCGGCTAAATAATGAAGGTCAGAGGCAATTCAACGACAAGCAGTTGAGGGACATGGAAGCTCTCTTACACTTCTGACCAGATCCGCATGCACGCGCACGCTCAGGTTGCTGCAGAACCTTCAACTCATACCACATCCTCGAACCAGACCGCGTCGGCCTGTCCTCGTAACTCTCGGATTCCCCGATGTGGTCCAACTGGACGTGGCGGCTGATATCGACGGGCATGGTGAATGTTGTGGGATTGTTGTCGGGATTATTGTCGAGACTACACTTAATATCAATCGATCCCAACGATCGATGGCCTTGCACAGGTCTGGTTGAATTGTTAGGAGATCAAATTGCACTTTACGTGGCTGATGCAGGATAGAGGCCTCAGAAACGCCTGCGCCGTTCTCAATTCTTTGGTTGTGGGGATCGGCTACGTTGTCGAGTGCCCCGACAGAACGGAACGCAGGGCGCGAGGCCGTTTTCCTCCAAGCAGCAACCGATTCACGTACTTTCGGGCCAGTGACCAGGCAAAGGTGTTCCCAATAACAACAATTCCTTCTTGCTCCTTCGATTTCAAGCACGAGGTCGTAAAGCAAGTGCTGGCGATATTCGACGACAACGACTGCGACGGTGAGGTTGTCTGTAATTCCCAGATGGCTCGGGGACGGTTGGTGAATAGGAGAGAAGGAAAGAGGAGGACGGGTGGGAATGGGGGTTTGATGAGGGAGACGGATGGGAGAGTGGGTCCACTGGGATTGGAAAGAGTGGGAAGCGAAGGAACGCAATTGGCTTTGAGGGGGGGGGGGGGGGGGGGGGGGGAGAGGGGGGGGAGGAGGGGGGGGGGGGGGGGGGGGGGGGGGGGGGGGGGGGGGGGGGGGGGGGGGGGGGGGGGGGGGGGGGGGGGGAGGGGGGGGGGGGGGGGGGGGGGGGGGGGGGGGGGGGGGGGGGGGGGGGTGTACGAGTGTCTGATGGCTGGGACCTGGGCTGGACCGGGACTAGCAGGACTGGGACGGAGGGGGAAGAGAGCAGCAAGAGAAGGGGGGGACAGTGTGAGATGTACTGACAAGGGACCAGGGAGTAGGTAGATGAATGGAGACGGACTGGGGGGAAGGGGGTGGTAGACTCTCGAGTTGGACGGAAGCACACCAAGGTCGAACAGCGGGCCATTATGGGCGAGGTAGGGTCCATAATTCCCTGGATAGACACTACCAAATGGTAGAGCATGGAAGTGGAAGGGAAATAAGTCCCGCACTGGGTACCTTACCAAAGGTGCCATCTTTGGGTACCGTACCTCAAGTTAGGGAAGTATGGCAATCTCTGAATACTGTGCATTCCCAGATGATTCCATTGGCACTGGGTGTGAGTGAGGGAGGGACCCAATGCCTCGGACTGGGGCCCAGCTGACTCGGCGGTAATTGGTAGAGACGAAATGACAATGACGGCCGCTCCAAGGCCCAAACTCAGAACCTCCTCCCCCAGCCCAGCCAGCCCAGTCTCCAGCCCAGCTTCGGCCTCTGAGATCACTCGCTCCCCCAGTCAGTTCGTTCCCAGTCCACTGGACCCATCCATCCTGCTGAATCAACTGTGCGTAATTGGTCAGAGTTCCAATCCTGTCTCGGTGTCTTGCTTGGTTCACCTTTTGTTACGGAGTACTGCTTGCTTTATCCCATCCTACCCCAGCACAGTACGTGAGAGTTTGGCTATCACGGGATGTTAGGTAGGTACTGCAGTCTGTACGGATACATAGCCTTCCAGCAGTCCGGCTAACGGGGTCACAAAATAGCACACACCACCTCTCTGAAAGCCATTCGACCTTCCTTCTGTTCCGGTGCGGTGGCGCTGACGGCGCTGGTGCCAAGCCGAGTTGGAATGCTCATGGCCCAGCAAAAGATCCATCACTAAACCTTACAGCGCTGCCCGGGAACTCAGCCCTCCGTCGTTACGTCCCTTGATGGTGAGGATAAGCCAAAAATGACGGGTGAGGATGAGTATGAGTGAGTGCCTCCTGAGTTTTCAGGACAAGGGGCAAGCCAAGTTTGGAAAAGAAGAGCCATAGTCCGCACAGCGGCCCTTGCTTCACTGTGTGCCCGTATCCGTACGAATGCTTGCCTTCTGGCATCTGGCCAGTGGTCGTTCACGCACTCACGTACTCCACTCTGCTCTGCTCTGCGCGTCTGCCAGAAACCCAGGCAAGACAGCGGGTGTGAGGTTGGCACAAAGGGGGGAGAAAGGGAAGAAGAGGTTTTCCCTGGTGATACTGCGGGATTGTGAAGGAGCGAGCTATCCTTGATACCAGCGTCCCACGGCCACATCTGCGCAGTCCGTCTTGTACCCAGTGTGAAATGGGCAAAGAGGAGAATGAGAAGAATGGCATCTCAAGTCAGTACGGGGGAGTACGGGGGCAGGGACGGACAGGGGGAAATGGGGGGCGTGTATGGTCGACAGTGTGAGCCGTACGCTAGACTCAGGTCTAATCCGTATCCGTCGAGCACTTCGTCGTCCACACATGGGTCGAGATATGTGCCAATACTAGCGAGGCGCTGGCTTGGGTTCTTTTGCTGGCGTTTGCTGCTAGTTCGCTTCCAGAGACTGAGATCCCGCGGCGTCCTGTGTCACGGAACGAGAATGGACGATTCCAGCGGGTGAAGAAACTCCACATTGGCAAAGCAAGGGACAGTCTTCTTCTTGCATCGTCCTGTTCTCTTCCTTCTATTCTCTCGCAAGTAGGCTTCCACCAGCATCCGCCATCGCGAATTCGAATTCAAATTCAAAAGGGTCTCATCTCAACCCGAAAGACACCTCAAAAGGTTGCCGCGCTTATTCCACCAGAGCTTGCTGCGGCTTGCGTGGTGCGTACCGGTATCCATATTTCCGGATACTTTGCCTAGCTTACGGCAAGGTTTGGCTGATTACCAGTTGCTTCAACGAGAATGAGTGATCGTCACTGCCCATCTCTTCCGGCCTTGTGGTTCATGGCAGCGTGCCCTGCGTGCGTACCAGTTATTGGACTTGTCTCTCACTAGAGGCGACTGGTAAAGTTTTAGGTCCATCCCCGTGGCAGGCCAGAAGGAAAACCTTTGCTTTTGCCTCGGCCGTGCCAGAAGTCCAGGACAGCCACCGAAAGTCAGTGCTGTACCCACCCAAAAACGCACAAAGAGCCGGAGTCTCGGGTTTGCCTTCGAGAGCGAGGACAGATCTGTCTGTGGCCTTGCCTTACGATGCTGCTGGTGCTGATGCTGGTGGCATTTGGAGGACGGTAAGCAGTCTGTGAGCAGCATTGAGGCGCGTCTGGTCCGAGGTACGTCCGGTCATGCAAATCTTCACCATGGTGGTGATTTCTCGTGCTCACAACTTCTTTCGGACTTCTTCTTCACATACTGGTTCGTTCTGTGTGTACAGTCAGCCTCCCACTGTCCACTGTTTCCCCCTGTGGACTTGATCTCTCCCTGGTCGGCTGTTGAGCAGGCATGACAAGGCCAGGCCACCCTTCCAGGAATAAGAGGCAGAGGCGCATAAACAGATGGACCATCATTGAAAAGTGAACTGCGAATTCGTGGGGCTCCCTCTTGCCCTTCTTAGTTACCCGAGCGCGGCCCTCACCCGCCCATCCAGTTCAGGGATCTCTTGTTCGTCTTGCTGCTGCGTTTGCAGCTTGCAGTCGTTAGGTGCAGGAGAATGGTGGTGCAGCAAGTACGCAGTAAGTGTGCCGCCAGGCTTCTCCTCTGACAGACTCAGACTCTGCAACCCTGGGAGAGCATCTTTGGGAGTCTTGGCCATTGTGCCGCTCTCGGCTTTCGCGCAATGTGGCTCGATTCCATCACACTGGACCTCTTCATTCGTTATTTCCGACCCCATCTGTATCCACTTGACACTGCTTGAGCCAATCCGGGTCCGAATGTTGTCCCAGCCCTTCTCGTCATCCCTGCTCGCCACCATTGCGGGCTCAGATGTGTGCCAAGAGGCTAACCAAGCCAGAGTTGCCGGGATTTGAGAAACGCTCCCAATCAACCTCATCACTCGGCCAGAGGGGCCTGTCACTTGGGTCGCAACTACAGTGCGAGAAGGGTGGCTGCGCTTCCAAGAGCAGGGGAAGAGGTGTGCTTGCTTGGCCACCTCCGGATATGATAGAGGCAGTGCTCTACACTCGTATAACAGTAGAGTGCCGTAAGGAGAGCACACACCAGTCTAACTGTACAGTACAAATACAGTCATCTTGTTGGTTGTGAGTATCCGTAGGCGTCAAGGTTGCGCCAAGGTTACGCCAAAAGATTGTGTACAACTGTTGCTGTAAGAGATGCCCTTCATGGTGAGACATTCTGTGTGCGCTTCGAGACCTGGCTCATAGCGATCCTCAAGGTACGGCTCTCGCTGGATAGATGGCTATGCTTCGAACGCTTCGAAATATCCCACCTGTGCTTCTGTCGCCGCCGACAAAAGAAGATGAGACGTTTTCGCCGCATTTTGGTGCGGGCCACAGCTGCCAAAACACTCTATGCTTGTCATCGCCCTCCTCGACAGCGGCCCTCTGCGTTCAACCTTCCACCTTGGTGGCATGTCGTGCCGCCGTGCGACACGCCCAGCCGGCATATCGCGAAGCTCAGGTAGCCGTCAAGATCCAGATACTAGCCGCATGTATGCGTACAACGCACATGAGCCGTCTGTTTCTGGCTTTCGACGTCAAAATACCCAAGTGCCATTCTATCCACGTTCATGCCTAGTGCATTTGACAGAACTGGCTTGCTTATGTTGAACCACAGAAGCGAAGCGGGAGTCAAAAACGGTCTCTGATATGCCGGTACGGCGCGTCGTTGCCCTGACTGAGCTGGATGGAGACGTTGGGCAAAGTCGAACGATGACGTTGGGTGCGGGCGTTACCCAAAGTGCTGTCTCTCAACTGCCCGAGGTCTGTAGACATCGGATGGCCTACAACCTTGGCCTAGGTATTTGCCTTTTCTCGAGGCTCGAGCAGCCTTGACCGCCAAAAAGAACTCGGACAATTTGGTCAATGGCTCGTGGCAGCAACCGTCCCATCGGTATTGCCCGAGAAAGACCAGAAAAAGCCAAACGCAAGCTTTGGAAGTGCTGTCTTAGTCTTTGCTTCGGATCGGGCTTGCCTCCAGTCTACATCGGCCAAAGTTCTCAGGTTAGCAACAACTTTTCCTTCGGCCCCAGAGAAACGCCGTAGTACCCGAACAACCGTTTCCGGTCTTCTTGATGAATGGGGTTTCCGCGACTGACGACCTAGCGCGGCAGACACTGCATTTGCGTCATCGTCGAGGATGCCCGTCGAATGTAGAGTAGTAATAGAGTTTCTTGACGGATGGTGGGTCATGGCCAGCAAATGAACATGGGCCGTGACAGCAAGTTTGAGTCTTGAGTCGTGAGTGCGACAGCGTTTATCTCTGGAAAACGGGCCTCCCGGCCGTAGGTATCTGTATCTGTATCTGTACGCCTGTCCGTACGTATACTTGGGGGAAACTTGGTGCGTGGTGCTTGGATCTCAACTTGGTGAAAACCGAAAAATAAGCATAGAAGGGAAGCATCGGGCTTCCGAGGTAGACTGAATCAGTCGAGGCGCTAGCCAAGGACCTTTCCGAGTGATCAGCATCTACCGAGTTCCCATGGGCTCCACCGGGGAGATTTAATACTGTTGGCATTGGCGGGCGAGAGGTAGAATTGAGAGTGGTCAAGGTCAGGGCAGACGGGGGACTGTGGAGGATGGCAGGATGGGCAGGTGGATAAACCCCAGTCTCCAAGCCCAGACTGTAGAGAATTTGTACACTGTGTGTCGATTACTCCGTACCCTCACAGGCTCGTACGAAAGATTCGGAATGAATATCCATGCCCGGCAGGCAATTGCTCCTAGCCTCCGACCATGTCGAGCACTTAATACCTCGACGTACCTGTGGACAATGGAATTCGAAGTAATGGCAGTACCTAGTCAGTCGTTCCCATTTCCCATCCCTTGAATGAACAGAAAGCCCCCAAGGCTTGGCAGTCGTGAACTTGTGCAGCGTCACTGAATGGGGGCCAGACGGTGAATTGAAGGGCTGGAGGCAGACGGTAGCAAAGCATGCGGACCCGTATCTGTACAGATTCAGTATAAAGTGGATAATGCGTTGCACAATTGCTGCCAAGATCTGCAATTGCGACCCAAGGCCGGCCAGCCGATCGACCGACAGCGAAACGCTTGTGTCCGTGTCGCAAGTAGGATACTGTGTAAAGAGGGCAAAAGATACCCGTGGTCTCTGAGCCTGTTGGCGATGGAAAAGGCAGCGGCAACTAGGTACTGAAGCGAATGAGCGACGAAGGCCAACGATGTACGGTTAAGGGACGCATAGGTATTCTGAGGCTGGCATTGTTTGGTACCCACGGTTGACGAATGCCTTGGCCTTGGGCGGGGATAGAGTGGATGCGTCGGGACCGAATGGTAAAGTTGCCAAGAGATGACGGATTCATCCCGTCTTTCTCGGGCTTTGGCCGGGCGGCGCTTTGAAGAGGAAGTTGAAATGAAATGCGTTGCGGTACAGCCGTAAAAACCTACGATTAATGTTCCCGATATCCACGATGCCGGGTATCGGGGGGGTGGTTGAGGTTATGCTCTGGTGTGGCATGGTGTGAAGGAAAAGGTCCCATTTGTGCAAGCACTTTTTTCTGTCTTTGGGAAGATGTATTTTGAACATCCGAACCGCACAGAAACGGGAAGCAAATCTGGTCGGAACGGTAGGCGAGAATGCAGAGACCAAGCCATCGTGCCATCCAAAGACGCGAGGTGCAAAAAAGGTGGTAGCGAAGGGTAGGTAAGCAGGTGGCAGGCACGTACCGTAAGGTAAGAAACGTGAAGGTAACAAGCCTAGAGGCTAAATTGCTTTGCCACTTCCAGTGCCATAGACGTGGAAGCTAGGCGAGGGAAGGGAGGATGGGGGAAGAGGAGCATACGCAGTAGGTAGGGGGGGTACGCTTTGTCCATCGTGTCCAGGACCATAGCTTCGGGAGCTGAGTGAGATGAGGTGAGTGGTCAAAGAGAATGAGGAGGTGTCTTGGGTTGGTTATGCAATCCACAGCATCGGGTAACTGCCATCCCAAAGAGACGAGAAACAGTACAGATCCACATTTTATCCGTTAGACTTGTGCTTATTGGTGAGGCGCATATGCGACGTCTGGAGTCCAGAGCAGAGCCCGAAGAGTCTGAGTCTGAGTTTGAGTCTGAGGTGAGTCTGAGTCTGGAGTCTTGAGTCTGGACCTGAGAGTTTTGAGTGGATGAGTGGGTGAGTGAAGCTCGGGGATGAGAGTGGTTGATGAGTGGGGGAGTGAGAGCGAGTGAGTGAGTGAGTGAATGGGTGAAGACCTGCCTATCAGAGTGTGCGGAAGGAACGCCGCTCAAGCAACCCTAGACCTGGCTGAAGCCTCAAGCCCCGGTTGAGGTTCTGGGAACGAGAGTGAGAGGAACTCAAAGGGAAGACGGGGCAGCAGCGGTCCGTTGATCCCCGGTAGAGACTCCAGTGGGTGCGGGTGCTGGTCATGGCCTTGGGAGCCCTGCGTTGGTCGTTGTTGGCTGCGTTGGCTCGAGCCTGCAAAACTCCCTGGAATATCGTTGCCATCCCCATTGTTTTTTCCCATCTGTCCAGGATGGCGACGATGGGCCATTTCAGAATCGAGACTGGCGCAATGGAGTCGCCTTTACGGGAATCGTCGCTCACCCGGCGGCCTGAGCGTCTCTCTTCCCTACGGATACACAGTATTGAGTATAGCCGACCGCGGGTTGCGGGCGATGGGTTTCCTGAGCCCACTGCGAGCACGACCTCCCGTCTGGGAGAACCTGGAGAGCCCACTGAGCCACTCTGTCACTGCAACAGCGGGCAATGATTCCGCCCGCGGGACCGCGCTAGACCAACTTGACAAAGCACCAGTGGCAGACTGGAAGTAACCTCTGACGGAGCACGCAGTCTCACTCATCTCATTCCCTCCTGCCCTTGTCCTTGACCTCCGTGTGCATGCCTTCTGTGTCCTCGACCCTTGGCTCAGTGTCTGATGTCTCCCTGTCCACCTGGCCCCACCTGTCAATGCCTGCCCCCAGTCCTCGTCATTCTCATCTCATGGCCAATTATGACCCCTCTTAAGGTCCCACTTTCCCTCTCCCAATGCTGTTTCCTGCCTTGTGCCCGGTTCAATCTGAGATTCCTCTGCCCTCACCTCACAGATGGAAGTGATACACTGCGACGTGAGTGGCCGCCCACTGTCCAGTCGGGAGGACAGTGCCGACACTGTACCTGCGTCCCTTCCCTTGCAACCCTCCTTCATTCCCACCCCACTTAAGCGAGGGCCAATCTAGACCCACTCCATGGTCCGATTCACAATTCTCCCGTGGAACCTGTACTATGTACGAAGTACAGTACAAAGTCTTTCCGGCCCGCTTCCGGCGGCCGACCCTAAATCGTTAAACGTGATTCGACGTTGTATCGTCGACTATCACAGGGGTGTTTCCATTGATCATTTGACAGCCATCAACTCCAAATTCTCGCGATATCTTTTGTTAGAAAAGAACCATCTAAAGTAGCTCGCAGCCGACTACTGCATCATGTCACAACGGTCATACTAGCTTCGGCATCGCCCAGGTGGCATCTGAACTCAAACTCCCCAGAAACCCGTTCGTTCTCACATTAACCCTCGGATATTGACTAACCTACCTTACCTACCTGGCCGGGCCCAATATGCCGTTCTGGTCACGTCCATACATCTGCGGTCCGCTCAGACGTCAATCAAGCAAACCTGTCATCAAAGTAACCAACAGGGACGCCACGCGACCCTTTTCACTGCCATGACTGGATACGCTCCCGTGGAAAGGGATCTCGCCGCCCACGGGAAGGAGGAGCCAAACCAACGGCCTTGGGAATTTCGACAACGATTCCCTACGTGGCAAACATCAGCAAGTCTTC